ATTTAATTTACTCTGCCCTCTTGAATCTGAACATTGAACGTTTTGTCAGGGCAATCTAGTACAATGGCCGGTCAATGTATGAAAAATTTGAGTATTTTTTTATGATGATTCTTACATTTCCGAAAATATTTGGGATTGTGCACAGTGTCCGGGCATTGTTATACAATGCTAAGAWTTCTTACTTTACCCGTAACATACATATTATAAGTTTAAAAGAGTGGCCCGAAAGGGGGTGCCCCACACTCTGATTTGATTTTCCATACTCTCACTCTGCTCTGAGTGCATCAGCGGGTCTGTGTAATAAACATTTTTTACAAATTACGATTTACGCTGGAGACTGTCGTTACAACCTGTATCACAGGGCAGCGGCTAAATAATATACTATACCATTAGGTGCCTATATGCATAGCGAAACAAGTTTGGTAATCTCCTTAGTCGTTCAGTTTTCCTACCTGTTTAATATGTATTGTATACATTACTGGTGAAATTATACTGTATAGTTACGACGACGACGAATGCCACCCTGATCCGAACAAATAATCTGTCGGGGAAAAAAAAATAATAATAATAATAATAAATGTACAAACCATTAAGACGAATACTGTCAATTTTTCACTCGAATTCGTTTCCACAATACGACCGTATTTCCTTTTCTCGCCGGAACTCCTCGAAGAAYATAAAAAAAAAAGTTCCTGAATATACTCCCTTTGCACAAAATACGAAATCAATCTCCTTAATGACGACGGGACGGTGATGCAGTTTATCGCAGTGTGTACCTATGTATATAATATAATATAAACCTATACATAACATATATATATTAAATATACACTGATCTATATACTATATACATAATATATATATATATATATATATTGCATAATATACATTTGAGGTGGTATAAGGCTTTTTTTTCTGCTGCTCCCACTCGCAGTGTACAAACGCTGCACAACATTCGGGGACGGTTTATTTATTTATTTATTTTTATCATTATTATTACGGACGCATTTTTTTTCGTGGCATTTTTTAAATAGACGTTAATGGAACAACGCCGTGCTCTCAAAATCTTTCAGACCTACCGTTAATTTAAAAAATACGAGTGAAAAAATGCTGTGCAGCACAATGCCTCGGCGCAGTGGCACAAAGCGCTGTAATCCCTTATACATATTGTATATATATATACAGCTAAGTACGTTCGTTCGGAACAAGACGTATCGGTTAATAAGGTCGAACGTATTCGATGGCGGATATAAGTCAGCGGAAAAAATTATTACATCCGAGATGAAAAACGGTTTTATTTTTTATTTTTTTCTTAACTTTTAAATTAGAAACTTTTCCGAGGGACGGAATATACACGTATAATATGATATATATGTATACACGTTATATAGAGTGACACGTTCATTACGCCGGGAAATCTGTAACCGTGGCGTGGCGCCCGGACTTAAGACGTCAGTTCTCGTCAAGCCGTRCGGCGGGAAAATGCCGAGGAATGTTTATAATAAGCGAGGCGAAGAATTCGATTAAATTGTTTTCTTTCCGCCGCCGCGTCAAAGCTTATATAGCCTCGGGATTATGATTTACAGTATATACATGGATTTAATAATATACATAAACATATGTATAGTAAACGTGTAACTACATATTTTTTTATTCCCAAAAGAGCCGACAGCCCTCACCGTCACTACCCGTCACCCCAACGCGATCTACTCACTCCAGACCATCACAGAGCCGCTCTTATAATATACGATTTGTTAGACACTATAGGTATATGCAGACGTACAAAATTATTATTACCGTCTTAAATGGCTTATATAAGCCATATACGTCTGTACCGCAACCAATTTAAGCATTTCAAAGAGGAAAGAGCAATGTAGATCTTCGAAACCTGCCGAATGACTTATTACTCTTTTTCATTGGAGATCATGAAAATATGAAGCCCTTGCAACACGTTTGACGTGATGATAATTACT